GCGACCCTCTCAGGGCTCACCCACACACACGAGACCTAGAAAGGCCACAGGACAGGACCCACAGCCTGTTACAGGGAGTAGCAGGGCTCCCCTGAAGTAGGGTCCCCAGAGCAGCCCAGGGGCCAGTCTCATGCTCCCAGCTATGGCTCAGGGACCAGGGAATGAAACCACAGCCAGGGTGGTGGGTGCAGGAGGAGCACTCTGGCTTAGAAGCCCCAGTCCCTGAACAGGAGCTGAGGTGTCTTGTAAGAGTGCTAGGCTCTGGCCTCGGGGCACCTGCATCTCCAGCATTTCCCACGCAGAGGCGCAGGGGCCATGCTCAGCCCCTACCCAGGGTGCTCTCTACTTGCCTCCCCTGCAGACTACCTCCCCCTGCAGGCGCCACCTCCACCTCCAGGGGAGAGTAGGCCACCTGGTGGCTTAGCTGATGCTGCTGCTCCAGCCCACAGGGGAGCTGGCAAGGCGGCCACAGGCATGAGTCCACAGAGGGGAAGGGTGTCTCGCAAATCCTTTATTCATACAGACAGAAATGAACAGACGACACGGCACAAGCATGGCTGTCCTCTGGCCACACAGCAGAGGACAAGAGCTAGGCCTCTGGCCTCTCAGCCAGGCCTAGTGCCACGGGAATGAAGAGCAGTTTAACTCTACAGCCCCCTGCTCTGCTTTTCACCTCAGTTCTGCCATTTCCTATGTACTCTGGGGCTACTTAGTTTGCTTCTGTGCCTCAGTTTACTCAACTGTGTAAGGGAGATGGCGGTAGCGCCTCCATCCATGGTTTTGTGTCCCATGGTTTCAGTTGCCTGAAGTCAAGTGGGGTCTGAAAATATTAAATGGAAAATTCCAGAAATGAACAATTCATAGGTTTTGAACTGCACACTGTTCTGAGTAGCGTGATGAAATCTCCCAAAGTCCTGCTCCGACCTGCCCAGGAGGTGACACCTCCCTTTGTCCAGCACATCCACGGTGTAGATGCTCCCCACCCGTCAGTCACCAGCAGCCATCTCGGTGATCAGATCCACTGTTGCAGTACCACAGTACTTGTGTCTAAGTAACCCTTGTTGACTTGGTAATGGTCACAAAGCACAAGATTAGAGATGCTGGCATATTGTTATACTTGTTCTATTTTGTTTGTTCGTTTTTGAGATGAAGTCTCACTCACCCTGTCAGCCAGGCTGGAGTACAATGGCGTGATCTCAGCTCACTGCAACCTCCGCCTCCTGGGTTGAAATGATTCTCCTGCCCCAGCCTCCTGAATAGCTGGGATTACAGGTGCCTGGTACCACACCCGGCTATTTCACCATGTTGGCCAGCCTGATCTGGAACTCCTGACCTCACGTGATCCACCCGGCCTCCCAAAGTGCTAGGATTAGAGGCGTGAGCCACTGTGGCTGGCCATTATGCTGTACTTCTCAATTTTTGTTTTTTTGGCTGGGCGTGGTGGCTCACACCTGTAATCCCGGCACTTTGGGAGGCTGAGGTGGGAGGATCATCTGAGGTCAGGAGTATTTACGTATCCCGCATATTTATGAGGCACGCACTCAGTTTTCAGTAAGCGTGGTGAATTAGGGGTTCTGCCTCTCTCCCTGGACTTAGCGGTATGCTTGGTAGCAAGCCGCAGTGCTGCAGTGTGGACATTATGGTGCTTCTGCTGCCTGCTGAGCCTCGGCCTGGGGGTGTCTGAGCCAAGTGCAAGGAGACCTGTCCTGACCTGATGCCTGTGTCAATGGAGTCAGGTGGCAGCAACTGCTGCCCCTGCCTGCAGGGTGCTCCCGTGGTCACCCTAACAGCAGCGACCACAAGCAAGCCCTTCTGTGTCAGTCCCTCCCGTCCTGCCACACTGATGGAGCACTGCCTGGGCTCAAGTGATCCGCCTCCGAAAGTAGTGGGATTACAGGTGTTTGAGCCACCAAGCCTGGCTCCCTACATGAATTCTTACACATGGTTCACGACCATCATTTTCCTGCTTCCTGGCATATGTGTAATATGTGTAGCTAAATCCTAGGAAAGGGGCTGAGGATTTTATACTGCCATGCACCATTGATGTAACTGCACCAGCACTGAGTCTCATGACTGAAAACATTCCCCCATCTTGATGGCACCTTCCCCCCACTGCATAAACACTCTGGGAATTAAATACATTAGAGGAATCCTCCCACAACACTGCCTGCCTTACAAATGAGATTTAATTTTGGGACCGGTAGAACTGAAATCACAGTATTCTGCTGTTTGTACTTCAAATTAAATCACGCATTTTTCTGCACTGCTGCAGAATATCCCAGTTAAAGCCAATGAGTGGGCAGGCCACCACAGCCTTATCTGTTCAGCTAGTACTGGACATTTTGATTCTTTCCATTCTTCTGCAATGAAAGATCTCACTGCGAGGAACATACAGCTGAACTCTTCCCATGTCTTGCCACATTGGTTTTTTTTGGTTTTTTTTTTTTGAGACAGGGTCTGTCACTGAGGCTGGAGTACAGTGACATAATCTTGGCTCACTGGAGCCTCCACCTCCTGAGCTCAAGCAATCCTTCCACCTCAACCTCCTGAGTAGCTGGGACTACAGACATGTACTACCACACTTGGCTAATTTTTATATTTATTTATTTATCTATTTATTTACTTATTTTGAGTCAGAGTCTCGCACTGTTGCCCAGGCAGTGGTGCAGTGGCGCAATCTTGGCTCACTACAATCTCCACCTCTTGGGTTCAAGAAATTCTCCTGCCTCAGCCTCCAAAGTAGCTGGGACTACAGGTGTGCACTGCCACGCCCAGCTAATTTTTTTGTATTTTTAGTAGAGACAGGGTTTCACCATGTTGGCCCAGACGGTCTTGATCTCCTGACCTCGTGATCTGCCCGCCTTGCCCTCCCAAACTGCTGGGATTACAGGCATGAGCCACCGCGCCTGGCCATTATTTTTATTTTTAAATTTTTTATAGACACAGGGTTTCACCATGTTGCCCAGGCTGGTCTCAAACCCCTGGGCTCAAGTGATTGGCCCACCTCGGCCTCCAAAGGTGGTGAAATTACAGGTGTGTGCCATCAAGCCTGGCTCTCTACATGAATTCTTACACATGGTTCACGACCATCATTTTCCTGCTTCCTGGCATACGTGTAATATGTGTAGCTAAATCCTAGGAAAGGGGCTGAGGATTTTATACTGTCATATACCATTGATGTAACTCCACCAGCACTGAGTCTCATGACTGAAAACATTCCCTTACAAATTCAGTAAGCATGAAATAATGACTTCTTATTAAATATGCCCTGTGGGCCAGGCACAGGGGCTCACTCCTATAATCCCACCACTTTGGAAGCGGATCACTTGAGGTCAAGAGTTTGAGACCAGCCTGGTCAACATGGCAAAACTCCATGACTACCAAAAGCACACACACAAAAATTAACCGGGCATGGTGGTGGGTGCCTGTAATCCCAGCTACTTGGGAGGCTGAGGCAGGAGAATCGCTGGAACCCGGGAGGCAGAGACTGCAGTGGGCCAAGATTATGCCACTAAACTTCAGCCTGGGTAACAGAGCGAGACTCCATCTCAAAAAAATAAACAAATATGTCTTGTAAAATTTAGAGTTTGAGCAATTTTTTCTTCTTGTAGTCACACTATTGCCTATAAATGTGTGTTATTTCTGTAAAGTCGTGGCTGCTTTTCCTGAAGTCCAAATTGCCCGTGTCGTCTTTGCTGCCAGCACTTGCCCTTCCTCGAATTTCCGGACAGTGATCCCTGTGTCTGCCCAGCCCTCTGATTCTTTGCCAGCAGGCCTGCTCTTCTGTCCCCTTCCACCCGTCTCCATGGCAGCAGCCAGGCTCTCTGCACAAGCCCCACCTCTGCCTCAGCTAATCCGGCACCTCCCAACTGGGCTGGAGCCAGCCTGGAGAGGCAGCCTCCTCGGCTGCTTCCTTGAATTTAGGAGGGATAAACAAGGAGGCAGAGAAAGCCAGGTTGTAGCATGAGAAGGGTAAAGCAGTGGCCTAGGAGAAAAGTTTAAACATGAGGAGGAAGAAATTGCTCTGGTCCCAGCATCTGAGCACAGGCCATAACTGGGGCCAGCTCCACCCACCCGAGTACTGAGCCACCTCCATATCTGCTCAGCAAATTCTCCTGCCCAGAAAGCGGGATCAAAAGGAGTCTTAACTAACACAGGCATTTTCAGCTTTTATGTTCTTGACTATCTCTATCTTCACTCTCAAGCTCAGGAGGGTACCATTCGTCCAGATAATGGAGAGTCTGTTATATCCTATAAAAAGCTCTACCCCGCTGAGGGGGGTGGCTCACGCCTGTAATCCCAGCACTTTGGGAGGCCGAGGCAGGTGGATCACGAGGTCAAGAGATCGAGACCATCCTGGTCAACATGGTGAAACCTCGTGTCTACTAAAAATACAAAAAATTAGCTGGGCATGGTGGCGCGTGCCTGTAATCCCAGCTATTCAGGAGGCTGAGGCAGGGGAATTACCCGAACCCAGGAGGCGGATGTTGCAGTGGGCTGAGATCATGCCATTGCACTCCAGCCTGGGTAACAAGAGCAAAACTCAGTCTCAAAAGAAAAAAAAAAAAATACCCCTAGGAACCATGTATCTAACTCTTTAATACACAAATAATCAACTTTTAAAAAATTTTTTTATTTTTTCTCTTTTTTTTCCTCATCTTGGAGGTGTCTTCGACTTTGCAATAATCAACTTTTAATAATTAACTTTTTGGCCAGGCATGGTGGCTCATACTTGTAATCCCAGCACTTTGGGAGGCCGAGGTGGGTGGATTGCTTGAGCTCAGGAGTTTGAGACCAGTCTGGGCAACATGGCAAAGCTCCATCTCTACAAAATACACAAAAATTAGCCAGGTGTGGTGGCATGCGCCTCAGTCCCAGCTACTCGGGAGGCTGAGGTGGGAGGATCGCTTGAGCCCAGGAGGTCAAGTCTACAGTGAGCCATGATGGTGCCATTATACTCCAGCCTGGGAGACAGAGGGAGACCTGTCTCAAAAAAAAAATTAATAATAATTAACATTTGATCCCTTGGAATATATTTGTATTTTAGGGAGAAATAATCTAAATTTGTTCTTTTGGGCCAAAAGTAATTAGCTTTTCCAACATCATGTATTCAACAAAGCTCCCCTTCTCTTGGCTCTTGGGGACCTCTATCCTCGCACGTTGGTGCAACTGTGTACGATACGTGTGCTCTGGCCCAAGGAGACATGCTGGCTGCCCCGCTCCCATTGCAGGCACTGCGGCCTGCTAACTATTTCAACAGCTGCTGGAGCAGGCAGCTCCCTTCCTGATTCCCTTCCTTAATACACCCAGTCCTATTAGCAAATTTACTTCAAAATCTCATTTAAGGCCAGCCTTTCAATACTCAGTAAAGCCATCAGTAGGATTCCAGGATGTTAGGAAGAATCAAAACAACTTCTTCCATCTGTTAGAAGAGTGGCTGTCTCCAAGGCACCTCCAAGGCATGAGCTGACTTAGTCCCACCTGACACAATGACAGACCTACGGACATGGCACATGCGCGCGCGTGCGCGCACGCACACACATACACACACACACACACACACACGGCCAGGTCAGCACAGGATGTGCTGACAGCCATGGGCGCAGTGAGGCCAGCAAGCACATCTGACTCCCGAGGTGAGAATCCAGGCCACGCTACGTTCTCACTGTGTGACTCTGGTGAAGCCTCAGGTTGCTCACCTGTAAAACGGTAAAGGTAACAGTACCGACTTCATTGGGTCACTGTGGGAAACAAAACAGGTAATATATGCACAGGACTTGCGCAGTGCTCAGCCCAGACTGTGAGCTTTCATTCTCATGCTTACTGTTAGGATGCAGCGCCTGCTCCAGCTCTGCCCTGCAGGAGCCCACCTCTCCAGGGCCCGGGCAGCAGCCAGCAAACAGCAACAGAGGTCCTGACATGGGGGTGCCTCGAGCTCCCAGCCCTTTCCTCTAAATGAATCAGGCAAGAAAAAGGATTAGTAGGAATGGCACTTTAGCCCAATGACAGACTTGGCTTTTGGGGTGAATGATTTTGGATTTTCTATCAGAATTTGGCAGCAGACATCTAACAAACAGCATGAGATGTTATTCAGATCTAGCACTGACACCAAGAGAAAATAATGAAAGGCTCTTTTGAGCACTGAGCTGAGATCAGGAATCAGAAGAGAAGCTGGTTTGGAGAGGCAGAAGCTGCAAAGGCTGAGACCTCAGGGCCGAAGTCAAATGTCAGAGGCTGGTCATCCATCATAACCACCTAACATCCTCAAAGGAGAGGGAGTTGAAGATTGGAGAGCCATGCTTGTGAACTGAGAACCTGGAAAGGGAGGGTTCGAAGCCAGCCTCGGGCTGCAGAGACGGCTTTGAAAGGCCACGCAGGTGGACAGGGGTGTGCCAATCCCTGCCCCAAAGCAGGCTACGAACTGCCCTGAACGTCGCCCTTCTCTCACCGCCCTTCCTTCACCTTCTCATGGACTTGCTCAAACCCAAACAAAGAAAACAAAAACAAACAAACAAATGCACTAACCAGATTCGGTTCTCAGGGCCAGGCCTTTAGTTTTTAGTCTTGAGTGAATAAATTCTTCTTTTTCCTTAAAAAAAAAAAAAAGAGATACGTTCATCAGTTTGCTCCTTTCTGCCTGTGGTCGCCTCAGCGATCATGTCTAAGTCAGAGTCTCCTAAAGAGCTGGAACAGCTGAGGAAGCTCTTCATTGGAGGGTTGAGCTTTGAAACAACCAAGGAGAGCCTGAGGAGCCATTTTGAGCAATGGGGAATGCTCACAGACGGTGTGGTAATGAGAGAGCCAAACACCAAGCGCTCCAGGGGCTTTGGGTTCGTCACGTATGCAACCTTGGCGGAGGTGGATGCAGCCATGAATGCAAGGCCACATAAAGTGGATGGAAGAGTTGTGGAACCAAAGAGAGCTGTCTCAAGAGAAGATTCTCAAAGACCAGGTGCCCACTTACTATGAAAAAAATATTCGTTGGTAGCATTAAAGAAGACACTGAAGAACATCACCTAAGAGATTATTTTGAACAGTATGGAAAAATTGAAGTAATTGAAATCCTAACTGACAGAGGCAGTGGCAAGAAAAGGGGCTTTGCCTTTGTAACCTTTGATGACCATGACTCCGTGGATAAGACTGTCATTCAGAAATACCACACTGTGAATGGCCACAGCTGTGAAGTTAGAAAAGCCCTGTAAAGCAAGAGATGGCGAGTGCTTCATCCAGCCAAAGAGGTCCACGTGGTTCTGGAAACTTTGGTGGTGACCACGGAGGTGGTTTCTGTGGGAATGACAACTTTGGTTGTGGAGGAAACTTCAGTGGTCATGGTGGCTTTGGTGGCAGCCGTGGTGGTGGTGGATATGGTGGCAGTGGGGATGGCTATAATGGATTTGGTAATGATGGAAGCAATTTTGGAGGTGGTGGAAGCTACAATGATTTTGGCAATTACAACAATCAGTCTTCAAATTTTGGGCCCATGAAGGGAGGAAACTTTGGAAGCAGAAGCTCTGGCCCCTGTGATGGTGGCGGCCAATACTTTGCCAAGCCACGAAACCAAGGTGGCTATGGCAGCTCCAGTAGCAGCAGTAGCTATGGCAGGGGCAGAAGATTTTAACTAGGAAACAAAGCTTAGCAGGAGAGGACAGCCAGAGGAGTGACAGGGAAGCTACAGGTTACAGCAGATTTGTGCACTCAGCCAAGCACAGTGGTGGCAGGTCCCAGCTGCTACAAAGAAGACATGACTTAGACAAATACTCATGTGTATGGGCAAAAACTCGAGGACTGTGTTTGTGACTAATTGTATAACAGGTTATTTTAGTTTCTGTTCTGTGGAAAGTTTTCCAACAAAGGGTTTTAATGTAGATTTTTCTTTTTTGCACCCATGCTGTTGATTGCTAAATGTAATAGTCTGATCGTGACGCTGAATAAATGTCTTTTTTTTAATGTGCTGTGTAAAGTTAGTCTATTCTGATGCCATCTTGATAAATTTCCCCAACAGTGTGAAGTTCGAATTCCTTCAGGGTGATGCCAGGTTCCATTTGGAATTTATATACAACCTGCTTGGGTGAAGAAGCCACTGTCTTCAGAAACCTTGGCGTAGTTGAGCTAATAGTTACTGTTGTGACCTGAAGTTCACCATTAAAAGGGATTACCCAAGCAAAACCATGGAATTACTGGTTATAAAAATGATTGTTGGCACATCCTATGCAATATATCTAAATTGAATAATGGTATGAGATAAAATTATAGATGGGAATGAAGCTTGTGTATCATCCAGGGTTATCATGTGTAATCAATAAACGATTTAATTCTCTTGGGAAAAAAAAGGCTCTCAGAACTCCTTTCTCTGTCTTTCCATTTTTCTCTGGCTACAGCACAGCTCACAGTGTCCTGGGGAAGTTTAGATGTTGATTTCCTGAGAAGCGGGTGGTCCATCTCAAAGCCTGTTTAAAACCCTCTTAATGTGGTTAAAAGTTCTGTGCTTGAAACAGGATTTGAAAAAAAAAAAATCCATAAACTTTGGGAGGCACTGTGTGTTTATAAATCCACAGAATAGGCTGGGTGTGGTAGCTCACACCTGTAATCCCAGCACTTTGGGAGGCCGAGGTGGGTGATCACCTGTGGTCAGGTGTTCAAGACCAGCCTGGCCAACGTGGAGAAATCCTGTCTCTACCAAAAGGACAAAAAATTAGCCGGGTGTGGTGGTGAGCACTTGTAATCCCAGCTACTCAGGAGGCTGAGGCAGGAGAACTGCTTGAACCCAGGAGATGATGGTTGCGGTGAGCCGAGACCACGCCACCGTACTCCAACCTTGAGCATCAGAGTGAGACTCTGCCTCAAAAAAAAAAAAAAAAAAATCCACAGAATACAATAAATTTACTCTACCTGACATAGCCCACCCAAATGGAAGATCAAAATTTAAATGTTTTTCTTCTGAATTAGACTATATTTCTTTCTTATATAGTTTATTTGTAAGTATGCTGTTAAGAATTTTGAATTCTCAGCTGGGCTCGGTGGCTGATGCCTGTAATCCAGCACTTTGGGAGGCCAAAGTGGATGGATCACGAGGTCAGGAGAACAAGACCGTCCTGGCCAACATGGTGAAACCCCATCTCTACTAAAAATACAAAAATTAGTTGGGCATGGCAGTGTGTGCCTGTAATCCAAGCCACTTAGGAGCTGAGGCAGGAAAATCACTTGAACTCGAGAGGCAAAGATTGAAGTGGGCCAAGATCGCACCACTGCACTCCAGCCTGGCAACTGAGCTAGACTCCCTCTCAAAAAAAAAATAAATAAATAAAAATAAAAATTGAATTCTTGTGAAGAACAACACATCAAAAAAGTGTTTTTTTTTTTTTGGCCAGGTGCGGTGGCTCATGCCTATAATCCCAGAATTTTGGGAGGCTGAGGCGGCGGATCACGTGAAGTCAGGAGTTTGAGATCAGCATGACCAAGAAACCTCATCTCTACTAAAAATACAAAATTAGCCAGGCGTGGTGGTGCATGCCTGTAATCCCAGCTACTCTGGAGGCTGAGGCAGGAGAATCACTTGAACCTGGAAGGCAGAGGTTGCGGTGAGCCGAGATTGTGCCATTGCACTCCACCCTGGGCAACAAGAGCAAAACTCCATCTCAAACAAATAAACAAACAAAAAAAACTGTTTGTTTTTTTTTTCTTGTGGCAGGGTCTCACTCCTGTTGCCCAGACTGAAGTATAGTGGCATGAGCTTGCTCACTGCAACCTCTACCTCCCAGGTTCTAGCAATTCTTGTGCCTCAGCCTCCTGAGTCGCTGGAATTACAGGCATGTGCCAGCACACCTGGCTAATTTTTATATTTTTAGTAGAGATAAGGTTTCGCTCTGTAGACCAGCCTGCTCTCGAACTCCTGGATTCAACTGGTCCGCCCATCTCAGCCTCCGAAAGTGCTGGGACTACAGAGCCACCATGCTTCACCTAAAAAAAAAAAACTGGTATTCTCACGAACATAAACACACACACACACACACGAGCATAAAACACGTACTTCTAGTTCTAGCTCTGCTGCTCACAAATCGCTTCCTTTCAAAGTCTCAAGATCTGTGGTTCTATGAATAACCAATGTTTCTTATATAGTTATACATTAGTTTTTAAAATTATATGTATATATACATACACAGGTACGTACACATGGTGCAGGGAGGGACCCAGACGGTACCACTACGGAGCAAACAGCAAAGCAAATACTAAGCATCTAGCACCCTCAAGTGGCCAACTGTGTCATTTCTCATTCTGATCTAAAACTTAACACTTACCACTTACCTTACTAAAAGTCAAATTCTGGTTTGCCCAGAACTGTTGATTCCATTCTTGTGTTTCTTGTCTTAATTTTCTAAGCTTTTGCTCCAATGGTGATTCATCTTCAGGTATGTGAAAGTGAACGGGCCGAAGGTTTGAATGTTTATCTGGGGGTCCTATCCAATCATGGCAAGACTTTCTTGGAGGGCAGAATCTTGAGACCTTTAACAAAGTAAATGAGATTAACATATGACAAAACGAATCTCTAGTATAAAGTGTACAGTCTGGATTGACTGACTGACTGACTGACTGAGTGACTGATTCTGAGATGAAGTCTCACTCTGTCACCCAGGCTAGAGTACAGTGGCACAATCTCAGCTCACTGCAACCTCTGCCTCCCATGTCCAAGCAATTCTCCTGCCTCAGCCTCCTGAGTAGCTGGAACTACAGGCTCCCGCTACCACACCTGGCTAATTTTTCTTGTTTTTTATTTTTAGTAGAGACAAGGTTTCACCATGTTGGCCAGACCTCAGGTGATCCGCCTGCCTTGGCCTCCCAAAGTGCTGGGATTACAGGCATGAGCCGCTGTGCCCGGCTATTTATTTATTATTATTATTTTTGAGACAAAGTCTCATTCTGTCACCAGGCTGGAGTACAGTGGCACAATCCTGGGTCACTGCAACCTCTGACTCCCTGGGCGATTCTCCTCCCTCAGCCTCCCGAACAGCTGGGATTACAGGTACCCACCCCCATGCCTGGCTAATTTTTGTATTTTTAGTAGAGATGGTGTTTCACCATGTTGGCCAGGATGGTCTCGATATTCTGAACTTATGATAAGCCTACCTCGGACTCCCAAAGTGCTGGGACTACAGGCCTGAGACACTGTGCCCAGCCCAATCTGGATTTATTAAAGTTCCTTGTTACCTTCCTCTTTTTTTATTTTTGAGACAGAGTCTCGCTCTGTTGCCCAGGCTGGAGTGCAGTGGTATGACCTTGGCTGACTGCAACCTCCCCTCCCGGGTTTAAGCAATTCTCCGCCCCAGCCTCCGGTGTACCTGGGACTACAGGTGTGTGGCATCACACCCAGCCCAAAATTCTTTCTTTACTGCAATGCCATGGTCTCCGTGAATAGATTTTGTTCCTGCAATGTGCAGGAAGAATTGTCTGGCAGTTACACTGGGAGGACCCTGCTATTTGAGAACTGAAACTATGCTGTTCATCATCAGGATTAAAATACTGATTTAATGCTGGATCAATTTAGGAATCGTTTTTAGAAAGTCAAGGCAAGATTGCAATACAGACCTTCAACATTTTACCCACTAGTCTAAAAATTACATACAATCACCAAATTTCCCATTAAAAGAATAAGACTTACATTTCCGAGAATGTTTACTTGTATTATTTTTTCTTTACCACACATTAACGGACTGGGAAAAGGTTGATGGGCTTCTCCTCCAGGCCTTTGCAACTGTGGTGTTTGGCTACTGGTAGAAACACGAAGTGAGTCCCACAAAAGGGACGCACTGTGGCCCACCCCCACAGACTGCGGCCCAGGACGGCACCGCCTTCCCTCCTCCAAGCTGACCCAGGTGTCTGCAGCTCAGCGGGTTTTGCGCTAACAGTGCATGGCCACTGTCCAGGGCTGAGCCCATTCTTTTCCGATCACGGGTTTCCCAACAGGAAATGTTCAAGGAGCCACCTAACAATTAGCTGCTTTTTCTAGCTGCCCACACATCACAAACCAAGCTCAATGAGGTGTCGGGAGTGTTCAGTTACCTTTCCCTATTTATCTACTAGTTATTATTCACATAAACTGCTTTACCAATAAAGCAGGTATGCCAATGTTTTCAAATCATTGTTTGCCATGATAATGTGAGTGATGTTATCTTCCTCTGCTCTTCCCTATAACTGAGGAGCTACTCTTCAAAAGGGTGGAGGAGCAGCTTGGGGGAGGAAAATGTCCTTTGGTAAGAGGGAGAGTCCCTTTGTAGTGCGAATAATTACCATAATTGCTAGTTTCTACAGTACAGCCCATGATTCATGGTGTCCCATTGGCTGTGCTGGGGAGAGAAGGCTCTTCTATCCGACCCTGTGGTCTATGGGGAGGGCACGCTAGACCCTCACAGTCTCCTGAGAAGCAGCCTCAGTTCTGCCCTCCTCACAGAGAGGCACGTGTGTATTCCTGCTGGTCAGGCCAAAACTGCGTCTTTGGGTCTGGGAGGGGAGTTACCCTTCCAGTTCTTGTCGAAATCTTTTTTCAGCCAGGCACGGTGGCTCACATCTGTAATCTCAGCACTTTGGGAGGCTGAAACAGGTGGATCATTTGAGGTTAGGAGTTCGAGACCAGCCTGGCCAACACAGTGAAATCTGTTTCTACTAAAAATACAAAAAATGAACCAGGCGTGGTGGCACAAATCTGTAATCCCAGCTACCAGGGAGGCTGAGGCACAGGAATTGCTTGAAGCCAGGAGGTTTTCAAGCTGAGATCGTGTCACTGCACTCTAGCCTGGGTGACAGAGTGAGACCCTGTCTCAAAAAAGAAAAAAGAAAAATCTCTTTTCTTAACTGTAAATTGGCAGGCTGGGCAGCCGCACAGTGGGCTTCTCCATGCTGGCTCTTTAGCCCCCTGTTTTATTAAGCTCCTGAATACTCCACCAGGAAGCACTCCCACCTTACATCCCTCCCTCCAGAAGCCAAGATTTGGAACAGGAGACACTGAGACATTTCCCCTGCACCCAAAGCTACCATGGGGAAACCACCAGGGAACAATGAAGAGAATTTGTTGGCAAGTTTTTAGCATTCTTGCTTCTGGTTCTAACAACTCTCAGTTCTATAAAGGCTTTGAGTTCCCATCTGAGAAGGAGTCAGGAACTTCCATATTTACTGATGGTGAGGATCCCCAACCCCCTATTCTTCTTTTTGTTTGTTTTTTTTGAGATGGAGTGTCGCTCTATCACTCAGGCTGGAGTGCAGTG